GTAGAAGAGAGTAGGAAGGATTATTTTGCCAAAAACTAGAGACTTAAGTACTTGCTTTATAGCTTTATGCATGTATTTTCAGACGTTTTTCACTTAACACACTTCTCCATCAATTCTTTCCATTCACTTTTCCTGGAAGGCATAGTATGGCATCAGCTGGTTCCCACTGCTAGCAGGAGGCAGTTCCAGAAGCTTCATGACAAAAACTAGTGCTATAAATACAATTTTGGCCACATGAGGACTCCAAACAGACATAATATTCTCTTACATATCTTTTTGGATTCTCAGGGCTGCTATACCTCATATCTAGATTCTGGAGGTACCTTATACTTCCTAAATCAAAACCTCACATGTAACAGTCTACATGGCACATTACCTTCTCTCTGTCCTGACATCAGGCAAGTTTACCAGTTTCTTCCCAAATAAAGAGCAGGCTTCTCTGTACAGCAGCAGAAAACTCAGCATGTATCAAATACAGCATTCATAAAAAGTCTGTTATGACAACATTTAGCACCTCCGTACATAGAACCTAACAATATGTGCCTCAACAGTTGAAACACACAATTCTTATTTTATTTTTTTGCAGTATGTTTCTAGAAAAGAGTAGATATAAGCTGTCCATAAAGATGTGATAGAAAGGGGATGGAAATAGAATAGATCAAGATATTCCTACTTGTAGGAATCCAGTTTAAGCTGATGCTCTTACCAAAAGAATGAAGCACAACTCTTTTTCCTCACCAGCTATTCATCCCCACCTCTGTATAACAAGCCTGAGAAAGGAAATTACCCAGGTGTGATTTCATCTACCAACAATAGGAAAATAATAGTTTAAACTCAGACCAGTTCACTGCACTACCACACAGATGATCGGTAGCCCTAAGGAAAGAAAAAACACATGAAAGATAGAGCAAGTCTCTTTCAGAGTAAAACTGGCACATGCTCATTTGAATTACTCATGGGATTACATCATTGGGTTTAGGTGCTGAATTTCACATAATTAATTATCTACTGATTGATCCTTTTAAAAGGCCCTGAGTGAGAAATAAAGCTTCCCCTACCTCCGTTAAGAAAACACTGTACTTGTAAGAAGTATGTGTTTGATCTTCTATACAATTACCTTCACTCTCCCACTTTGTCAGTGGACTGCCCCCAATATTTAGAGACATGTCACCCCCTATCCTTGATTAATCTATATGATTCAGCTTTCTAAAACCACATAAAAATTATTTTCAACTTCTAGTTTTCATTTATTCTTCCTGGAGTTTAATAACTGTAATCATTCTTCAACAGCAGTTTTAAGTTCAACTAACTTCAAATGAACACAGGAATAAATTCCAAATTCCTGTCATCTTTCCACATCTCCACTCTTAACCTAAATTTTTACTCAACTGCATGATTTTAACATTAAGAGAACAATAAACTCTTTTCATAAAGAATAAAAGCAGTAATGTAAAAGACAATTTAAAATTACTCTGTGTAATTGCAGGACCTTCAAGGGATGTCAGAAAAAGTTAATTTCTGACATGTCTCCAACCTTGATGAAACCTTTTTATAAACAGAGTAATAATGCAGGCAATCAAGGATGGATTCCTGGATATTCTCCCTTGAAGTATATACAGCAGATATGATTCCCTGTCCTTCTACATCTAAATCACTGTATGCTGCTACATGAATCAATTGAAGTCCTGCAAATAGGCAGACTAGTGAGTTAACCATTTTGTATTTGTGGACAATAGGTGCAAGACAAATCTACTACATTGGTAGCTCAAAACATCTGCCTTCCAAGAAACACAGCTGACAGCTTAGGCTAGCTCTGAATAATGTCACTTTCTTACATACTGCCTTTAAGAAGATTCTTACAAAATGGGGAAGACTTAAATCCCTCAGTGCCATTCTACAGCCTGGCTTTATCTTTCATCTACTCAATGCCCTTGGTGAACATACACTCCTGTCATTTATCATGACCTCTTTCATGGCATGGACAAACAGTATTTTTTCAACATACAACCATGTACATCCAAGAGGCCTTTGAAACTGACCAATCATACTCCTGCTAAAAGACTACAAGCACAAATTAAGTAGGCTACTAGAAAACACTTTAAAGTAGAGGAATTGTACAATCACAATAGCTGGCATCAAACAGTAGCAAGATTTGCTTTTAATTGGTATTGGAAAGTCAGAAAGAGTTTAGCTTATGTTTTTGCCACTTTGCTCTGGCTAGTATAAGTGAAAGGATGCCAACTGGGGAGACAGAAAGTGGAGAAGTGGAGAGAAAGAAAGAAAGACAGAGGGTTTTAAGAGAATGCAAGAACTGGGAAACATTCAGCGCACTTAAGACAAGAAGCTTTAAGGTCCCAAAAGCAGCATATTCCATAGGTTTTCCAGATGAAGATGGAACAATTACTACAGCATGTCCCCATTAAGCAAAGAATTATCAAAAAACAGCCACAAAAAAGTTGCTTGAGTTCAAGTAGTTCAAGAATGAGATGACCCTCTGTCACACATCAATCACAGTTTTCTGCCTGCATACACAGTGTGATTCAGACATTGCTGACATCCCCCAATTTGCCTGCAAAATTTACTTCTTCCAAATTCAACAAGCTCACAGCTTTCTCAAGAGGAAATACGCTGAATACACTGTAGTGGTAGGAGAGACAAATAATTCAGTCTGAGTGTATGTAACATGGTCCTCTAGAATGATTTTAGCAAGATGCTGCCTTCTGTTTCACAACTTACAGAAACAAAAGGCCTGATGCCTGTTTGCATAGATATTCAAAAGGCAGCAGAATTTGTGGGTGGACAGCATCCCCTAAAAGACAGGAAAAGCACTCTATAATCTATTTCCCTCTTTCTCCTTCACAAAACATGTATTACCAATGTTAAGGGTACTGTCGCTATTTTCAGTACCTTTCTGTGACTCAAATAACATCATACCAACAGTTTACTACAGTGTCAGCAACTAAGAGACTTTCTGCACTGTTTGTTCACCTGATCTAATACTTAAGAAAAACAGTTGTGAAGTCATACCAACGTGTGCAGGGCCTTAATACAAAGTTTATGCAAACACAGTCACAGACGTCCTAGGTACAAGTTTACAGCTCTTCCTAACAAGGTATTTCCTACAACACCATCTCTCAGCACTAACTCCTTATTCCAAACTATGCTGGCCAGAGTCTAGCTCATTAATCCCCCCTGCATATAGGGGAGAGAGAGCCTTCAGTTGTCCCAGGACAGGATCTAGTTTTTATTTATCTTCATGGCGGACAGTGACAACATACCTTTTATGGAAAGATACAGGTCCAGGCTAACCACTCCCCAAAGCAGGCAGGATCATTAAGATCCTCATTCCAGAAGACAGCATCTCTTTTGGAGGTTAAAACTCTATCTTTCTGAAGCCACTGCCATCCACTACATAGTCATCCTGCACAGTAATTGCCTTTCCTTCTCCACTCCTTGCCCCTAGACTCCCTGAACTGCATTTTACAAAAGGAATAAAACATTCACAAACAGATCACCTTTCACTTGGAACGCCAGTCCTCCCCAGAGACGTAGAGACAGACAGACGTAACAACAGAGACCGTAAGCCCTGGCTCTCAATTCTGCTCAGCAAATGCTGAATGCACACAAACCTAGCTAGCTAGTATGCTGCTGCTGTACAAATATAGAAAGCAGAAAGTGGAACAACCGTTTCAGCAGAAGAGATTCTGCTCAAGTCTCTGAGAGGGAGGAGCAGGGAGCTGAACCAGCCAAACTGCTTTACCCATACATGGTCTTTGAGAGAGATCGTTGCTAAGACAAGCTCCTTTATGCACACACACCCTCACTCACTGTCACACTGTCCAGGGGAAAAAAAGAATCAAAGTATACAGACTTAAAGGAATTTTGAAATGAGGTCCAAGTTCACTTTGCTTCAGCCCACCTTAATAATGCAGAAACATCCAACACTTTTCATCCAACAGAATCTGACCAGCAACTCAGACACAAGACCAAAAAAATCTCCCTTCAACGGAATCCCCCCATCCACCAGTATTTCAAGAACTACTGAACTGGCCAGGTCTTCCTTCTTGCTTTTGGATGCACACATCCATATACCAAGCACTTGGTTTGACCTTCCACCTGCCCTCCCCATCCCAAATTAAATTAATCTTGTTAAAGTCTTCTCCCTTTTAAAGTATTTTCCTAAACCAGTAAGCATGATCTTTCCCATTAGTTGATACAAACTACTTTGGTGACCTGCTGTATCATGTCTTTCCTAGTATTCCTTTTTACCAGTGTTTTAACACAAGCTAAACCTTTCTCTATGCACTCTTCTTAAAAACAGAAGAAACCCACTTCTATGCAGCATCTTCTCCCATTCCTTCTCTTTTCATGTTCTGGCCCAGAAAGAAAGAAAAAAAGTAAAAAAAAGTGAAAACCTGAATCCCTAGGTGTTAAAAAACCCCCACAAAACTGGCATAGTTTTTATAATACACAGATATGGCAGTCTGCAAACTTGAAAACTGTTTCATTTATATATAAAAGCATAATTTTTCATAAGAGAGATTTATTAGCCTACGCCGTTGCCTATTTCTTATACTAGGTGTATCCCACATTTATGTGGTGACACAAAACTATCTTACAGAAGTTACCAGAAAAGTAATGTCATGCAAGTAAGTGGAAGTTGCAACTTTCAGCTGTATAAGGAATGTAGTAACCAATTCAGAACTAGAAATGCAGTAGTCAGATTGTTTTGTTTATGTGACTTGCAAGTAGATATAAAAATGCTGGTATTTAAACCAACAATCTCTATATTTTCAAATTGTCTACTCCCCTGAAAGCAGTAATGAAACACCTATGAAACTCATTTTTTAATTAAATGAAAAATTGTTTAAAATTAAAAGAAAACCTAAATAAATTTCTGCATCAGAGAATCAGTGTCATAGAAGCTTCCACACTGTGAAACACAGACAGTACCACTTACAGCCCGTCTCTGATAGTGAATGCACAATCCAAAATGTAATATGGGTGGCTTAACTCCACAAATATCAGAATATTCTTACTTATCTTTTGATAGGTAATCAAGCATATGAGCACAGATTTATGAGCAATCAAAACTGCTTTAGAGAAGTAAATACACAACCCTTTTTTTCCCAAAAAAAATTTTGCATGTTGGTCATTTTCAAGTGCAGTATCACTTCTAATGTCTTTTACTACTGTGCAAGGAATCTTTACTATTTTACTTATAAATTGTCCTTGATACTGTACAGCTATAACACAATGATGGGCAAGAAAAAAAGAACAAAAGAAATTCAATTCTTGCTTACCTGTCCTCAGGATGTGTATTTTTTAATTTAGAACTTTAAATGGAAAACCAGAAACTTTTGGAAGGCAAATAACAAGGAGGTGCAGGTGAGTTGGCAGAAAGATTTGAGATGGTGTTCTGCTTAGGAATCTAAGACTATAAATGAGAGAATAACTACTTTTACACTGTGTTGTGCCTACAGGAAATACAAGAACTAGATGTGATATTCTCTCTCCCTGAAAGACCAAAACTTCATTGCCTTCTGAAGAATAATTTTTCAAAGGTCTATACTGTAAGATTTTACAGAGATAATAAGATGCATGGTGTCCATCCTGCAAATCTTTACATAGAGTAAATTAAGAACAATGCTATCATTTTGTATTTAGTCTTCGGTGTTGTTTGACAAATACTTCATTCAAGTTACAGACTTCATAAACAACCAGCTCCTCTTCTTTGAAAAAAAAAAAAGCAACAAACAAAACCCAGACATGAGTGTTCCCATTCCAACAGATTCTGAAGGATTTGTGCATAGAGTGCATGTAGAAATATGTTTTGAACTGCATAGTTTGAGGAAAAATAGCAAATATTATTAATGGATTCAGTGAAAACCTGAATTTTAAACAAAGAGATGTTTGAAAAAAAAAAAGTTTTACAGAAGATAAGTACTTTTTTTTGGTGAAAGATGTAGTACTACACAGCCTGCAGATAGAAGTGAAAGCTACCAGAAAGAACAATTTTGATGGAAGCGAAAAAAACCCCAACAGCCAGCGTCCAGAAAAACTCAAATGAATTTCAAGTACAAAAAAATGTAAGACAATACAGAACTTCATGTGAGCTTTTATGAGAATCAGGAGAGAATTCAGTTCTGAGAGAACACACAACATACAACCATAAAAACCAGAAAACCCGCCAGATATCCTACCAGCTTGACATTGGATACCCAACAAACACATATCCTCTTATCTCTTTTCTTAAAACAAAGCAAAAAAGTAGACCATGATAGACTGAGAATACTGAAGGTAAAAGGGTAACACGCGTACATGGGACAGAGAAGACAGCTTATGGACAATGATTTTACTTCTGGCAGAAAGCCTTCACACACATACACCTATTCCACAAAGTGCCTCATTTAAACTGAAATTCTTCACTGAGAACTTAAAAGTACTGAAGATTTCTGTTCAGCTATCTAGTTGTTCACTGCTCATCCTGAATTCAGTTACCAACAATGCCTTTCTTTTAAAATGCACAGAACTAAGATGGCTGGAAGTTTTATGCTACTCAAGCTGTTAGAAAGAAGTCTACTGTTACCTGGGATGATGACTGTGCCCTAATTTCTTGCTGTCAAACAAAAAAACCTGCTCTGTCTACCACAGTTCAGACTTGTGAGCTATTCATCCCTACAGGAAAGCATTTACAGACTAATTTGCATAGGAGCTTTAACACAGTTTACATTTTCTCCCTTGCTCTACCCAAATTTCCTGCTTTGACCCAAGATGTATTTTAGCTTTACATGTTTGAATCTTGCATCAGGTGAGAACAAGATGACACTCAGTTGCTGTTAGTGAAATCTCCTCTTGAAAATGTGAATGCTAAAGCTCTCTCTTTACACTGTTATGCCCCAAAACCAAAGTGTCCTGGCAGAACAATCTAAATTAGGTGTAGACAGCAACAGCAGAAAAGGTGGTATCTTGCATTTTTTCATATAACACATGCATCTGTAATGACAAGATTACAGGTTACTTTTTTCAAACAAGTTACTAGTTACTTTTTTTCCAAACAAGATAATCTCTCTTGCCTTCAGAAAACTTGTAACAGAATCACAACTCAAGATAAGGTGAAATACAGGCTTCAAGAGAAATACCCATTAGAGGACCTAGATAACTTTTCTCAATTTGCAATTCCCATTCTAATACATCCTGAAGCATTTTACTCTGATTTATACTGGTTTTTCCTCTGCCAAATAACTGATCGATGGATAAAAACGCTACTTTCTTGCCTGAAGTCCCTGAATAACTCTGCAAGTAGCCTGGGGAAATAGCAAACTAAAGGACAAGGAGCAATACTGAACACGCTTAAACTGAACTAAAACTGTCAAGACATTCATGGCAACACTGATAAACAAAAAACAGAAACATACACCTGTTGGACTATTGGTTCTGTTCCAGTAGCAAGACTCTTATTTCAAAAGTCAGAACAGTGGGTTCTTCTCAGATAATAGAGTTAGACACTAATAATCAGGAAATCTAAAAAAAAAAAAGAGAATTTGCATAATTTTCCACCTAGCCTAAAAAAAAGCACTAAAGAAAAAAATTAGAGCAAGTCTGCTAAAGAGATTTGCAGCAGAAAACCCAGAAAATAAACAAATGAAATTAAGAAACGTAATCACCGATAATCAGTAATAACATTTCAGAAAAAGATGCAAGAAATAGTTAAGTAACATGTTCATAACAAAGTTTCTTACTAAGTTCAGCTAGAACAGGCACTATTTTCATTAACTCATTGCAAGTTTAAAATATTTAAGAACCACATAAACATCTGTCTTTCACAAAATTTAACTAATTCAGCATAACAGCATTTGCGGCAATTTCAAAAGAAAAGTTACACAATATTATAAATACTTCTCTTACATCCAAGAGCCACAATTAGTTTCATTCAGTGATCCTTCAATTAACAGAAAGGCTACTTGCAAGGGACCTTGCAAATTATGGATTTATTATTGATGAGACACACAATTTTTGCACATCTATGATACTGTCACCTTTCTTGCTCTTCCCTTCAGAGAGGTAATGCCAGGCAATGTGTTTTCAGAATCCTTACTGATAGAAGAAATAGAAGTTAAACACACTTTCTCCCCATCATGTAATGGCAATCTTGCAAATGCATCTAGTTTTGAAAGACTAGCAAAAGGTGGATACAGCAATATGTACACAGTACTACTGTGGACTTCTTTACCATATCTCCCATTATGAAAGACAGGGAAGTTCTTCTCATTGTATAAGCCATATACTTTCAAAACTGAACTACCTAACACATAAATCTTCACGTTTTAGTGTTCATGATTTTATGACAGTCACTTTTCAACCATATAATTTCCTACAAATGCTGTGCTCCTGCTTTTGTTCACATGTAAACACAATTTCCTAAGCCTGCATCTATTAATTGCTTTCATATACAAAAAAGAAGCAGATATATAACTAAGGAGTTAGGGTCTGGGACTGATTTTGTTCTCATGTATCAGAAACTTTGATGCGGAAAGGAAAAACACAGACACTCAGGAGTGATCATGCAGAAAGGGTGAACCCACTCTACAAAACAGCATATACTTTCCCAGAATAAAGATCAGCAATAACTTTGAAAGTGAGGACAGGCTGCAAGAGAACAGTAAAAGAACACCATAACATTTCCTAACACAGCGTAAAGACCTAAGGAGTGTTTTTAAACACCTACCACAACAGTAGTATTTCCACAAAGCTACCTCTTAAAGACTTGGGTCCAGACACGACTCTAGGAAGTACAGTATCTCACTTATGCTAAGCTCCCAAGAACAGAGAAGAGGGCTAAAGACACCAGGAGAATATTTAGCAATGATTGGGATTGTCAGTTCAAAGGTTAAGACTGGAAGGACAGATGGACAAACAAATAAATAAACTCAAGATACTCAGCCAAAATTCCTGTAGACCCGAAGGAAAGCATATTTCAAGATGTAAATCCCCACCAAACGCTTTTCTAAATCAAGTGAGCTTCCCATAAAACACATCCAATGACTACAGTCGAGCAGTACAATACAAAAGAGCTGGAACATCTCAAAAATGCTCCTCGACAACTTCAGGCAGAAAAGAATACCTGTGCTTTAAAGGTGAAAACGTCTGGGACACAATTCTTCAGGGATTTAAAAGAATGAAAGGAATTTAAAGGAATGAAACACTTTCTTGTAATGCTGGCTCTCAACTTCCCTACTCATGAATACTCCTATAAAAATCTCATGCTGTTATCAGCCTCTACTGCTTCTTCACGCTTTTATAATTCATTTTGTGTTCAGTCTCTCCTGTTTGCTTTTATTCCTCGTTACTTCTTCCCAGTAGCGTCCACCGCTCCGTCTCACACGTGAGGCTGCAAATCCTCACGCTGTGCTGAGCTCCCATTCCCTTCCCGTGCGCCCCGCACACGCGACCTGCCACCACCCACCCCCAACCCCCCGTACACCAGCACCTATTTCGCTAATCCAAAACAGCCCCCTGCCTCACCCCACCCACCT